GCACGTTGTTGAATACTTACAGTTCAAGGTGAGAGGGAAACAGCTCCATGCCCTTAGCCTCTGATATCTTGGTTTTTGTTGTGAATTGCAGCCCATAAGTAGCACTATAAAGGTCACCTGTGATTATTATCCTTCACAGTAATGCCTGTAACCAATTTGTAATGGCAACTGACATGGCCAACATTACCTTTGGCCAGAATTTGTAATCACCATAGTTGGTCACTGCATTTAGTTCACATGCAGAGTTCTATGATTATAGATGACTTTAACTTGGACTAAGGAAGTTAATTAATGAATTAATATGATTAGTGCAATTACTCCTTTATAGGGCTCACATGTCGAGCCTACTCCTCCAGACAGAAAAAAAGCATACTCTGTGCACTGTGGGCGTGGTAGTAGCCCTTTTCAGTTCCATTACATATTTGTGTTTTGGATAAGTTTAGAGAGCAACACAGGGAGCTCTTCACAGAGTGAGCCGCTTGCCCGCAAAGCTGTGGACTCAGATAACTCCCCTTGATCTTCAGTGAACAGATCCCCAGAGCTAGGTAGGACCCAACCCCTTGGCCAACATGGATGAAAGGCCCTGACTGATGAATGAGAAGATCCCTGGCTGATCTCTGTGCAGCTCCCTGATCGATTTAGCACCAATACCTGGACTGACTGCACTGGACCTTCAGCACTTAAAATATTCTGGGTGACAGAATTAATCTCCACTTGGAGAGGCAAGGGTTAATCAAGACTAGTCAACATGGCTTTTCCAGGAGTTAATCATGTCTAACGACTTGGATTGAATTTTCTGAAGAGGTTACTGTTGTGCAGATGCAGGTTGTTCAGTTGATGTCATCTACATGGACTTCATCAAGTCTTTTGACAAGTCTCTCATGGCAGGCTGAGTAAAGAGCTAACAGCCCCTAAGATCCAGAGCAATCTGACAAATTGGATCCAACGTGGCAAAAAACAGAGGGTGATGACTGAAGGGTGTTTTTGTGACTGGAAGCCTGTATCCTATGGTGTATCACAGGGTTTGGTGCTGTGTCCTTTGCTATTTGTAATGTAGATTAATAATGGAAACACAAATGTAGGAGATAATATCAGTAAGTTCACAGATGACACAAAAATTGGTGGTGTGGGAAAATTAAGCCTTAGATGACAGAATGATATCGATAGACTGGTCAGATGAACAGAACAGTGGCAAATAGCATTTAATCCTGAAAAGTGTGAGATGATGCATTTTGGGAGGACTAACAAGGCAAGGGAGTACATGAGGAAATACAAAGGATCAGAAGGGCCTTGACCATATGATGACTCTAGGACAGGTCAATAAGAAGGTTAAGAAGGCATATGAGATATTCGCCTTTATTAGTCAAGTCATAGAGTCATAGTCATAGAACTGTATAGCATAGAAATAGACCCTCTGATCCAACTCATCCATGCCGACTAAATATCCTAAATTAATCTAATCCCCTTTGCCAGCATCTGGCCCATATCCCTCTTAACCCTACCTATTCATATACCCATCCAGATCCCTTTCAAATGTTGTAATTGTACCTGCCTCCACCACTTCCTCTCGCAGCTTGTTCCATACATGCACCGCCCTCTGTGTGAAAAAGTTGCCCTTTAGGTCGCTTATAAATCTTTCACGTTCACCTTAAACCTGTGTCCTCTAATTTTGGACTCCCCCACCCTAGGGAAAAAAACCCGGTCTGTTTACCCGATCCATGCCCCCTCATGATTGGACATTGGTTGTTGGACTCCTAAAATCATGCCCCGCCACCCCAACCAATCCACTGGCAGAAACTTGGCCGTGATGTTTGGAAGCAAGGTGGTTAGCTTGATGCTGGAGGCCAGTGATGTCAGGGCGGACATGGCAGTTGTTCACTTTCTTCCATCTGTATCTTCTGTTCACTTTTGCGACCCACATAAAAATGCTCAAGGTCATCTAGGCAGTTTTGTTAGTGTGATTAGTATCCTGACATTCACAAACTAACATAGCTTCTTGGGCTTTCCTATCACTAGCAGGAGCAGTTTTTTGGTGCCATCCATGTCGGTGTAGCTCACAACAAAGACACAGTCCTTGTTTCACTTCCCGCTGGAACACTATCTTTCAATCAGGTAAGAGACAGTAACAGTCCATTGCATCATTCTCATAAAACATCTCTTGGTACATACTCATTCAGGAGATGGGCAAGACCATTTTGCATCCAATCTGTTGTTGCTGCTGGAGCTGCCATACTCTCACCACATAGTGAACAAGGATATTCCTGGCCTTGAGTCGGTCCAGCCATCCATCACTGCAGGCACACTCCTTGAGGCCTAGTCTCTTTGCCTCCACTTCATTTTGTTCCCAACCAACAGTACTTTTAACTTTTCTCACAGATTTACTTATACTTGCAAAGTTTGAACATCTTTTTACCTCTATACTGAATGATGGCTTGCCTGTGATTTCATGCTCTGGTATAGCCTAACTCCAATGCAATTGGTTTGTAGCATCATATGACAAACATCCAAGAATTCAGCTAATCTAGAGTTATCGGCATTGAACTTCAGCTCACAGGCATCCTTTGACTGGATTTCCTATTCCACCAGTGGGAATGATTGACAGCTTCATAATCAGATTTTCAGATTCTTTGAATTTAACTCATCACGATTTCACTGGACCAATGTAAACAGAGTTAGACAAGATGGATGGTTTGGTTGGATTATTGGCTTCAGCAACCATAATGCAAGGTTTCTTCACAATCCCCAAAGTGTTGAGTGTGTCGCTTATGCATATCATTTCCTCTAATAATTCTATGACTAGAAAGATCGCCCACAAGTGTCATTCCTGCCACAGAAATGACCACCAGTTTGACTCTGGAACATTTCCAACAAGTATTAATAAACGTTAGTTACCACCTCAAGCTCTGCCAGCTTGTAAAAAAGTGTTGAGATATAAAGTTTGTCTATTGTAGTTTTAAAATGGATGAGTAAGTGTCAGCGCAAGGAGGCTTGGGACTAGCAGTGTTCCACAGAGGTGCTGGGTTCACTTTTGTCTGTTATTTTATATAAATGATTTGGATGAGAATTTAGGAGGCATGGTTAGTAAGTCTGCAGATGACATCAAAATTGGTGGTATCATTGACAATGGAGGTTATCCAAGATTACAATAAAGTGATCTTGATCAATTGGGTCAATGAGCTGAGGAGTGACAGATGGAGTTAATTTGGATAAATGCGAGGTATTGCATTTTGGTAAAACAAACAAGGGCAGGTCTTATACAGTTATTGGTAAGGTCCTGGGTAGTGTTGTCGTACACAGACCTAGGGTTTCAGATACATAGCTCTTTCAAGTTTGCGTCACAGGTAGACAGGGTAGTTAAGGTAGCATTTAGCGCGTTTGCCTTCATTGCTCAGACAATTGAGTATAGGAGTTGGGATGTCATGTTGAGGTTGTACAGGACATTGGTGAGGCCTCTTCTGGAGTACTGTGTGCAGTTCTGGTCACCCTGCTATAGGGAGGATAATTATTAAATTGGAGAGGGTTCAGAAAAGATTTACCAGGATATTGCTGGGGCTGGAGGGTTTGAGTTATAAGGCTGGATGGGCTAAGATGTTTTTCACTGGAGCATAGGAGGATAAAAGGTGACCTTGTAGAGGTTTATAAAATCATGAGGGGCACAGATAAGGTGAATGGCAGGTGTTTTTTCCCAAATGATGGGGATTTCAAAACTAGGGACCATAATTTTAAAGGTGAGAGGAGAAAGATTCAGAAAAGGGACCTGAGTGACAACTTTTTCCACAAAGTGGGTGGTTCATGTATAGAATGAACTGTCAGAGGAAGTGGTAGATGCAGGTACAGTTACAACATTTAAAAAGACATTTGCAAAGGTACGTGAACAGGAATGGCTCAAAAAGGGACATGAGCAAAACGCAGGCAAGAGAGACTAGTTTAGTTTGGGGAAACTTGGTCAGCATGGACAAGTTGGACCGAAGGGTCTGTTTCTGTGCTGTATGGCTCTCTGACTCTCCATATTGAAGTTGTTCCCCAATTTTGAGGTTGTTATTTCAACAAAAGAAAATAATTGTTTTCTACAATGCAGACACTAAAATATAAACCACTGGACTTGGAAGAATCCCAAAAGATATACCAAGAAATTTCCCCAGTTATATACATGGGCACTTTTTCACACAGTTCTAATAACTGACAGTCAAGTTCCACCTCAGCTCCAAAAGTACTTTTCCAAAAGTTCACATTTTTACAGAATTGGTGTTAAATGTACACCTGGAATTTCCTCCATTCTTAACATACCCCTTCCGTTTTTGGAAGTCACTAATTCATGCAGTGCTACAGTTTCATTGGTGCATTTCATGTTACCATTCGTCACAGGCAAGTCAATTAATGAGCAATAGTTGTTATAGTCCAGGTGAAGGCCAGGTGATAGATAGAACTGAAGTCAAATCTTTACTTGCTTTTATAACCTTATTTAGAGATACACATTCCAAACATCCTAACCTACCACTCCAGTGAATCTGATAGTCTGTTAGCTTTTACAGGAACACAAGCAAATCCGTGGTTGATGCCCGCCACCTACATACATTTAATATTGACCATAGGAGATATCACACGACTACAATCCTGCTCTTAGCAAATATCCATGTGTAGCTTTTGGAATTTTGGTCACTGCTAGGCTTTACATCTTCTTAATCCAGAAGATACCGAGCCCAATTTTGGAATCTCTACCAAAGACAAGTGACTAATTTAACTAAAGTCCAAACACATCTTTTCAAAAAACTCACTTCAATTTTGTTACAAATTTGAAATTTCATTTACCCATATTGCAAAGGAATAGTCAAGCACTGGACTGCACTGGCTACATCATTTTTCCATACAGTTCCATTATGTAGCTAATGGACAAATCCCTTCCCATGTTCTCCTATTGTAATTAAATTCCAAAAGAACCAAAATACCTCCATTTACTCGATTTCTAAGCACATTCCAATGGACCAAATGCTTTTACTCACCTCCATTATAAATGGATTCCAATGGATTAAATGGTTCCAATCATTCCCTTGTGAGTGAATTCCATTGGATCAAACCCCTTCAATTCACTTTTATTATCAAGAATTCCAAATCCAATCATAAAGTATTCCCAATTACTTGTATCCGTGTGCTTGTGTGCAGAACCCAATCTGCAGAACACCATTTGTCTCTCAAAACATAAACACCTTTTTAAAAGAAACAAACAGGGAAAACATTAAAATCAATTCAGTTGCATATTACAATTAACATGAAAAGATTTGCATGAAGTGTGGGTGCGTATAATATAAACTGGTTTTGAAAAAAGTCTTGAATTTGGCTAAATGATCAATGCCTACAGTGCAGGGGAGCAAAATAACGCAAAATACAAGATAACAAGTTGATTCAGAAAAGGTAATTAGATGATTCCATACTTTGGATTTAAAAGCATGTTAGTTGCAGCAAGATGAAAAAGATTTTGGGAGATTAAGGAACCAGAGTTTTAAAGGTCCTGAGAGAAAAAAAGAGTCATTGAGTGAGCTGCCAATCTGGATTAGTACTTCAACAAGAAATACTGTCCCAAGGAACGAAGAGGCAAGAGAAGGAAAATTACAGGAAAAACTGGAGCAGATATTTTTCTAAAAGTAGTAAGTAAATTTTGCAGCCAAATCCCAATTTGTTTCTTTTTGTCATTGACAAAAACTGGAAGTGCAGTCACAATAATGTGATAAATATAAAAATAATTCACACTGAATGCAATTTACTCTTTTCAACTCATCATCTTTTGCTTTGACTCTGCCATTCCCAAAGGCATCCCAGGGATACCTGATCTACATGAGCATTTATTTGGTAGTACAGAATTCACATATTGAAAAACAGACATGTTGTTGAAGTCTTTTGTCTGTTTGAACTAAACAAGAGAGTAGGGCACGAAAGTTCCCTGGTGCATTTTCTATGGCAACACCTTGACTAGAGTTGACTTGCTCACAAATTATGATTCTTATTCTCTGCTCCAATGAAAGCAATCCCAGTCTATCCAATTATATGAAACAAAGGACTGCAGATGCTGGAAATCTGAAACAAAAACAAAGACAGAAATTGGGGGCTGGAGAAACTCAGCAGGTCTGGCAGCATCTGTGGAGAGAAAACCGAGTTAATGCTTTGAGTCGAGTGACGAGACCTGCTGAATTTCTGTAGCAATTTCTGTTTTTGTCTCAGTCCATCCAATCTCTCTTCATAACTGAAACTTCCTAGCCAAGGTAACATCCTGGTCAATCTCCTCTGCACTGGAGAGGGTGCAATCACATCCCTCCTTCAGTGTGGATTCCAGAGCGGCACACAATACTCTAGCTGTGGCCTAACCAACATTTCAGACAGTTCCAGCTTTGCTTTCCTGCTCTTAAATTCTGTGCTTCAGCTAATGAGAAGGCACATGATATATTTGCTTTTAACCACTTTATCTACCTGTCCTGCTAACTTAAGGAACTGGTGGATATGCACACTAAGGTCCCTCTGATCCTCATTGCTTCCCAGGGTCCTACCATTCCATCATACATTCGCTTGCTTTGTTTGCCTTGCCTAAGGACATTGCCTCACACTTTTCTGTATTGAATTCCATTTGCTACTGATCAGCCCATCTGACCATTCTGTCTATATCCTCCTGTAATCTAAGGCTATCCTCCTCACTATTTACCACCCCACCTATTTTTGGTATCATTTGCAAACTCATTGATCATCATCTCACATTCAAGTCTAAATCATTTATCTATAACTATAAACAGCAAGAGCCCCTACACTGATCCCTGCAGAACCACACTAGTCACTACTCCAACCAGCATTTCCTGACCTTTGGTATTCCTAACCTCCACCCGCTGTTCATCCAAGCCAAGGTCCTTTCTCACTAGTGTCCTGACATCATGCCTACTTATCAGGGCGACCTCTCCTTTTTTTACGATTTTGAAGACAGAATGAAAATCACCCTGGGACACTTATTTCCTAACCCTAGTCACCTTTGGTCATACTTTATCCACTATTCTTTTTTTGAACCTTATTTGCTGATGCTCTATTGCCATTAAACACTCAGTTCCTGCCTTTCCACACTGCTACACTTTTCTATTGCCTTAACATTTCTAAATCTCCCACAACCTGAACCCTTCCGGCCCGTCTTCCCATTCCCCAACCAACTTTAAAAGCCCTATCCCACAGTCATCGTTCTGTAATTCATCAGGACACTGATTCCAGTCACGTTTAAGGGGACCCCATCCCAAAAGGAACAGCTCCCCAAGCATTTGGTGCCAGCATTTCACAAACCAAAATCTCTCCCTCCCATACCATTCTTTGAGATACCTGTTAATTCTCTAATTTGTTTGATCACATGTCAATTGGCACATCCAGGGATAAATCATTTTGAGGCTCTGTTAATTTGTACCCTAACTCCTCAAAAACACAATGGCATACTTAGCACTACCCACATTGTTGGTTCATACATGGGCCATGACTGTTGGATCCTCACCCTCCCATTCCAAGTTCATTGCCAATTATGAGATGTCGTCTTTAATCCTGGCACCAGGTCGCAGCTCCAATGAATAATGCCTATCCTCCTGATTTACTACCATAATTCTTCTCACTTACCTCACTTGTACTGCATCCAGCACCATACTGTTAAAATCAGTTTGCTCATCTATTCCAGAGTCCTTGTTCTCATTCACATATGTAGCAAGGACCTTGTACCTGTTGGTGTGTTAATAGGGTTTGTGGATATCTGGAACTCACTGCCTGTTCTGAGAAAGGGTCACCAGACCCAAAACGTTAATACTGACATTTTTCTTCACAGATGCTGCCAGACCTGCTAGCTTTTCCAGCAACTTCTGTTTTTCTTTCTGATTTGCAGCATCCGCAGTGCTTTCGGTTTTTAAAACTATCTTGGTGTTGGTATTACGGCCCTGCCCACAGTGCCACCTTGTGGTCTACTTGTGTAAATGCTGTTTCACATTTCTGAGCCAAGGACAACTCAATCCAGGGGAGGAACGCTCACCGGACCCGAAACGTTAACTCTGTTTTTTCCTTCACAGATGCTGCCAGTCCTGCTGAGCTTTTCCAGCAACTTTGTTTTTTGTTCCCGTTTTCAATCCAGGGGATCCCTGACTTAATGAACGCTCGTCCTTATGAACACAATCCCATGCAGTGGTGTAATTTTAAAGATCTGACATTTAAACATTTCCTGTACTTCCAAACTTTACACTGTCCTGCATTGTGTTCCAACTTGTGAACAAATCGATTTGTGAGTGGATTCCAGAACAGAACCTGTTTGCAACATGGGATTGCCTGACTTACAAATTTTGATGAACTTGAACAATGATTGTAATGGTACACAATCAAGATACTTCCATTTTCAACTAAATAATTATTTACAAATTGGAAACATGGGCACAATTTGTGGCCTGTAATGTAGTGCGGTAAACAATGGCCCAGGTTTTCCCATCTGACACTGGTAGGGTCTGGTTGTGTCTTCCAAGTCTGGATTCTTCACAATTGTGGAGCATATGGTGCTACAGAGGGCTCCGTCACAGTGTTGGTGCACAGCTGGATGTCTGCAGTTCCTACTATCTCCATCACAGTATTGTTCCTTTGTGGGAAAGTCTGGACATGTATCAACTTGCCTTCTTACTGTTGACTCTGGAAAACACTATTGCCCCAGTTAACAAACTCAGCTGAAATCAGTAACTATTCTTTCCATTTTGAGGCAGTGAACACTGGTCTAACAATGTCCCCAGAAATGCTTGAGTTCACCTATTTGTTAAAAATTACTGACTCAAATCTTTCAATCAGCATCAGGCCTATAGAAACATAGAAACCTAACAGCAGGTTGAGGCCATTCAACCCCTTCCATCCTCTCCCCTGTTCTAGATCATATCTGATTATCTACCTTAGTACCTTTTTCCTGTGCTATGCCCTCATCCCTTGATGTCATTAGCTTTGGGAAATTTATCAAGCTCTGTTGGGAACATGCTCAGCGACTGAACCGCTATGCCTTCTGGGCTAGAGAATTCCAATGATTCACTATCCCCTGAGTAGAGCTATTCCTCCTCATCTCACCCCTAAATTGATTGACCCTTATTCTGAGGCTATGTTACCTGCTTTTAAACCCCACAGCCAGGGGAAAACTCCTTTCTGCATCTACCCTGTCTCTCCCTTTAGGAACTTGTAGAGATTCTTCTAATTCTTCTAATCTCTACAAAATACAGGTCTAGTCTCCTCAGTCTCATAGGACGTCCCACCGTCCCCGGAATCAGTCTGGTGAACCTCCGCCGCACTCCCTCAGTGGCAAGTATATGTTTCCTTAGGTAACGGGATCAGAACTGCAGACAATTCTCGAGGTGCAGTCTCACCGCTGTTCTGTACAATTTAAACAAGGCTTCTCTGTCCTGTGCTCAAATCTTTGGCAATAAAGGCGAGCATACTGTTTGCTTTCCACATGTTTGCTGCAGCTGCACATTAACATTCAGTGACTTATCTACAAGATCCTTGATTGAGTTAAGAAAGTTTCCTGTGGATTTTCTCGCCAAGCACGCTGAGGTTGTAAAAAGGGCTGCATTGTTTCCAGGACACACTTGCTCAATTATTTCCCTTTCCTGATCCCTCTCTTGCCATCTCTAAGGGAGGGAAAATTCTATCCTATGTTCCATCTGCTACGTTCTTGCCCCTTCATTCAGCCTGTCAAAATCCCCTCGAAGCCTCTTTGCATTCTCCTCACAACACACAGCTAAATATTGCTTTGTGTAATTTGTAAACTCAGAAATGTTACATTTGGTTCTAGGTCCAAATCATTGACATAGATTGTGAACCGCTGGGATGTTATTGCACTAGTCATAACCTGCCACGGTGAATTACCCATTCATTCTACTTTCTGTTTTCTTTCTGTTAACCAATCCTCAATCCAGTACATTATCCCCATTCCACGTGCTGTGAAGTTATTTACCAATGTCCTGTGTGGAATCTTCTTGAAACCTTTTTGAAAATCCAAATAGCTATAATTATCTGTTTGATAATGTTTGTGAGCTGTAATAAATTGCATTTATGATGTCATTTTGAATGTATTATAATACAGTTTATTACAATTCATAAATATGATGAAACAGATAGTTGTAGCAATATTCTTGGAGTGATTAAAAAACATGTCTTTTTAATCATTTATGAGACATGG